CCGTTTATATATATATATATATATATATTCTTTTAATAAGTAAATTATTTTAAAAAAAATTCTGAAATATCCTTAATCTTTTTTCTATTCTTTAATTTTTTTTAATTTTACTCCAACTTTTAATTTATCATTTTCTTCTTTTTTTTCACACACCTCTTTCCTTCTCTCTTTCAATTTTTATATGCACATATGTAGCTTTTTCCTCGACAGCTTCTATCGAGGTAGGCCTGCATTTTTTCTTCCAACACTTCCTCCCCTTTCACACTTCCAAAAATTTTAACATTAAGGAGGTTTAGGATTTCATTAGATTTTAAAAGACTTTTTTTGAGTAAAAAAGTTCGTTGGTATTCAATCAGGATTTTATGTCACTTAAAAACAATCAAGTGGTATTCAATCTGGATTTTCAAGATTTTTTAAAGAGTCCATTAAAATCTATTAGTATTTATTTGAGATTTTTTACAACTTAAAAATAATTCATTGGTATTCAAAAATATAAGGATTTTAAATGATTGTTATGTTAGAGGGATTTTGAAGGACTTTCTAGTGCTATCTATAAATACCAAATTCATAAAACAATCTCATCCAAACCCATCAGATTTTGGAGGATTGTTTGAAGTGACTTTTTAAGTGCTTCAAGAATTTTCAAGTGAATTTTTCATTTTTTTTTCTATGCTTCTGTCTTCTCCATTTTTTCTCTGCTAATAATACTATACTACTGTTCATTACTCATATATAATATTGTAGTATTGTTCCCATTTCATTATCCTATTTTGTAAAACTTCGATATGTAAATAACAGTATCATTGACTTGCTCTATTTTATTCTATTTAATTTAATTTTCTTTTATATAACACAAAAAACGCTTGAAATTTTAATTTTTAAGTGGTAATTTTTTTTATAACACACGTCAAGAAAAGGGAAAGGTGAAAGATGAAATTGATATCATGATCTCTACAATATATATATTGTTCTTACCGGGAATCCGAGGTAAGGATGATCCGCTGGGTAAGATCGGTGAGCCTCCTTCGCTGGTACGCTTGCTGCTCCAAGATGGGGGTGGTACTTGCAAAAGAGACTTCGATGCCAAAGTTAGGGTTTGTATGAGTGTAAGTCTCGTATAAATAATGCACGTACCTTGGTGTGAATTAGGGTTGTGTTGGGCCTTGGGCCCAAGATTAGTTACGATCTGATTAGATAGCAGATCTCGCCTAGACCGAGATCGCCCAGTGCATGTCCGAGGTCGTCCTGCACTGTGATACCGAGCTCAAGCTCGGCATGGCGGTACGGATAGTACACTAGCCCCCCGAGCTCTGAAGACCGTAGGTCGAAGAGTTAAGACCGAGCTCGTCAAGTGGTCGTGACCCTTCGCGTACGCCTGCCTGTCGAGATGCCACGTGTCGTAACTGTTGCCTCGTTTTTGAAAACGTTTTTGAAAACGTGTAGGTGGCGTGTGGGTGAGGGTGACGGTTATGCAATTATGATTGGTGCTCGTCATAATGGGAGTCATTAAGTGTGTCGCCAGTTATGCCCCCTGGCTGACACGTGTTGTGGCCGTTTAGATTTTGGAAAACCCCATTTTCTCTCCCTCTCGCGCCCTTTCTCATTCACTTTACACTTTTTCGCCCTTTCAGCTTCCTGCGCACGCTGTCTTCCTCGCTTCCGTTAATCTTTCATCTTCGTCTTCTCTATTTCCGTCGCTGTTTTCGGCAACTGGGTTGTGCTCTTTCTTTACCGTTCTTTCGTTTGTGACAGGAGTATCAGGTACTTCGATTACTCTGTTCTCTCTTGCTTCTCCAATCTTCTCCTTCTTCGAGTCTTTTGTTTTCTTGATGGCTGGAGAGAGTGGTGTCGGATCCTCCGCGCCTGCCAAGGGCAAAGGTAAGGCACGAGGCAAGGCGGTGGGTATCGAAACGGCCGCCGCTGAGAAGAAGAAGGTGGTGAACCCGCCTAAGGACACTACTACAAGATGCATATTCTACATCAGTTCTCTAAAGTCATCTACATCGGTTCTAAAACCGATGATATTTTACTCCAAACAAAGATAAACGTAAACTAAATTGCAAACCATTAAAAGAAATAATCCTCTAGTATGCAAGATGCACTCTTGAATTTAAAAGAAAAATAAAAAGGACAAGTATACAAACCACAATATTTTAACATATAAAAAGATGGTGCTTTACTACATCAAAAACAATATTGATAAGTCTTGGTTTGTCAAGTTACAAAGTAGACCAACACAACCCAGCAGCTCAAATTGTTGCTCCTCTAATGCCATAATTCTTCTAATATAGACCCAGCAAAACGCAAAAACATATATACAAAGTAGTGTAGTTAAGAAGACAAACATGAAGAAGAACCGGTAGTTACGCTGCATAACAATCATGCAAGCAATTAGGATATACATACATATTCAAGAATGACACGTAGCAAATGATAACTGAAAAGTAATCAGAACAAAAGAAATAATGAAAATGAAGAATTCATCAAGAATGAACAAAAATTCAAGCTGCAAACTGAAAAGAAAACTAAGCCCCCTATATTAAGGAATCAACTTTATAGCTAGATTATATGATGCATTACCAACTATAATAACTTAAAAGCAAAATAACACTTAAAACTAAAAAAAGCTGGACTGAATTTATTTATGTAAATCAAGAACTGCATTATTTGTAAAGTTGGCATTTGGTCCACTATTATTGCTTAATTAAAGCGTTAAATTTACTTAATTTTTAACATATACTGTAAGTTTATAACATAGTTATAAATATTTCAGCACCTATTAATTAAACTTTTTCTACAACATAATTATCATTAAAACAATATAGTTCAAGTTATGCAAGGACAAGCTCAATTCAACCACTCAAAGGACTTAAGTTTGGTTTAACAAAAAAATACTTCTGGTTCACAAATGGCTCCAAAATACACTTTTAATGAACAAGGTCTGAATCATTTAGATGATACATATATGATACAATGTGATATTAAACAAGTGAATTCAAATTAAAGGTTGGACCAATGTAAGACTAAAGCAAACCTTTTTTTGATTTGAAAAAGGTTCTAATATTAATACAATGTAAAGTGCATAAAAAACCTCATATCCAATTGCTCAAAGAGTAATACCTTTGCTTCATTGGCATCCTTGCATTGTAAACTGAAATCCATTGTGTAGCAGGAACCCCCAAACGAACCTTCTTTTTGGGCTGTGAATCATCCTCTTCCTCAATATTCAATCTACCCCTCTTCTGACCAACCTGGTAAATTTTGTTTGAGGGAACAAGGTACCAACATGAACACAAAGACCAAAAACATAATAATAAAAATAGTCAAGGTTGCCATATGCCCTACTATCAGTTTTAAAGCAGTTCTGATATATGCCCCATTATTTATTATATATATATATGTGTGCAACAAATTTAAAGCTTAATAATAAGACTTAGCATGAGGGTGGGTGCCACAATACATGAAAACATCCAAAATAGTATATCAGTATATTTAGAGTATCTTAGATGATCTTAGTATTAGTTCCCATGTTCTATTATATTACCATGATTGATTTTCATATTAAATAATATTTCAAGAGTCATTTTCCTCAATTTTATTAAGATTATGGCCCAGCATTAGTGAAAATTTATATTTTGTATCACATTTTAACACATCATATCAAATCAAATCTAATAGTACAAGATTAAGTTTCCTAAAATAGAGCATGCAGCTAAGGGAGTAAGAGGAAATCCTATTTGTAAATGGGAAAAAATTCCTGACTGTTTCTGTACAATTTCTATATATATCATTCAGAAAAAGTTATAATCCAAAATCACATGATAATATTACCTTTTGAGCACCTTCAGTATTAATAGGCCTCAATGCAGGATTGGGCCTAAGCATACCATCAAATAAAGATATAAGCTTGGAATAGTTAGGTTCTTCATCAAATTTCATGTTCACTACAATCTCAAGGAACTGTCTAAAAGGAGCAGGGCAGAAACAGCATAGCATCTCAGGAGATGTTCCCATCTTCTTTTTGCAAACAAGGAAGGATTTATTATCACCCTAAAAAGAAGGTAAAATCAAATTAACATTCAGAACACAAGAACGAACCGAAACAACTCTTATAATTATCAATTAATCCCATCAAAAACATTCTCATCTCAAAATCAAGCAAGACAGACTATATGTCTACAATTCAACCTAAAACACAATCAAAAACAAGTTCAAAATGCAGAAACATTAAAGTAGCTAAAACCAACTTAAACAATAGCATTGGCAGCACTAGCAATCCTGGGCCACAGATCAACACACTCCTTCCCAATTGGACCAGTAATAGCAGAACCTACAATTACAAGACAAACACAACACACGAAACAAGTAACATTACAATCCAATTTCACACTAAGAAAACCAACCAAACAAAACCCTAAACAAGCAAACTCAATCAATAATTGAAACCAGGCATTGACAAGAGATATCACGTACCTTTCATTTCACCTTTGGGATTCACAATCACACTAGCATTATCTACACAAACGAAAACCACAATCTCAGAAACAGTTCCAAAACACAAATAATTTTACAGAGGAAGGGAAAGAAAGAGTGATATACCTTCGAAGTACATGTAGACTACGTCCTTTCGGTGCCAAGGCTTGTGCTGACGGACGATAACGGTAGGCAAAACCTTCTTACGGAGATCGGGTTTTCCCTTCTTGACGGTGGCCATAACCATGTCTACGACGCACGCTGACGGCAACCGGTTCAACCTTCCCTTGATCCCCTTCACCGATATGATGTAGAGGTTCTTCGCGTCGGTATTGTCAGCGTAGTTCACCGTCGCCGCCACTGGCAAAATTTCCTACTCATATATTAACCTAATAAGGTTGTCCTTGGTTAAGCTGAGCGCCTGAAGCGCTATGCAGGCCTTTTCAATGGCGAAGCCTCAGAGTGGAGGACGTGGAGGTGGTGGTTGAGGAAGAGGAGGCCTTCCGCGAGGAGAACGGTTTTGGGTGTGGTAGGAGGCTGACAGCGTTGAAAGGGTATTGTGCCTTTGAGGGTGATATTAGGGTTTCATTTCTACATCAATCCTAAGAAAAACCGATGTAGAACAATTCTCAAATTTCATTTTTACATCGGTCAATCATAGACCCGATGTAGAATTTCTCATATTTACATCGTTTCTCTTCTCAACCGATGTAAATATGTTTGTATTTTCTATTTATTTACAAGTTTGCCACCGCGTTTATAATTTACATCGGTTCTACCAGAACCGATGTAAATATGGCGATGTTAAACAGTGTTTTTGTAGTAGTGGGACCTCGTTCCAGGCATTCTTGGCTACGATTGGGTTCGGCGCGAGATGGGGGAAACCCAGAGTGTGTTTCGGTCTTTTCTTGAGGTTAATACGGTTTGGAAATCGCACAGAATTTGTGACCCTTCTCTTTCCCGAATGATCTGGCTTGAACCCTATCAGGCCGGTGAGGGTGTGTACATGGGGAAGTCTGCAGACCCTCCCCATTTCTATGTCTTCCTGTGTTTCTTTAGGGATTTAGGCGTCTGCCTTCCTTTCACTCAATTCGAGTGTGATTTTTTGAATTTTATCAACTCGGCTCCTTGCCAGTTGCACCCAAATAGTTGGGGTTTTTTGAGGGCTTTTCAAGTCCTGTGTTCGGCTCTAAGGATAGAGGTGTCTCTTCCCGTCTTTCTTCATTTTTACCAGCTGAAGATAGGCGTTCCACCTTATGGCATATTATCTCTGAGTGGGAGTAGGGATGGGGGTTTATTCACTCTTTACTCCCAGTCATACAAAAATTTTAAATAAGATTTTTTCTGGGTTGCCCTTGTGGATGTCGACCCGTTGGAGGATGGGGCGTTCTACTGCGGCGGGTTGCCGAAGTTCCCCTTCTATTGGTGCCCCAAACCGTCTAGGTTTCACGGGGTGGGCCAATTGAAGTTGACGGCTTCGGAGGCGGCCGCCGTTGAAAACCTTGCCGCGCCCGCTGGATTGCAAGCTCGTCCTGTCGCTTGCGAATTCAGCGTACAAGGAAAGAGGCCTGGAGAGTGAGTATCTCGTCCTCTTTAGATTGTTAGGGTTTGTGAAACCTTCTTTTGCTGATGTGTTTTATTTTCTGTGTTTGCAGGCATAATGGGCAGGAACAAGTGGCGTGAGCTGAAGCACCGCTACAATGTCGCCGAGATCGAGGTCCCCGAGCCTCAAGAGGAGGTTTCCCCCCTGAAGGTCAACCGAAAAAGAAAGAGGGGCGAGAAAGAGGTCGAGGGGACCTTTGCCCCTCGTGGCACGGAGGAGGTGACCTCCAAGGCTGCTGATGCCGACGCAGTCGACCTTACTGGGAGCCCTCCACCTGGGGAGGCTCCCCAAATGGCTGTTACGGAGACTACTGAGCAAGTTGCTCCCTCCGCCGAGGTAAGTGTCCTGTTTTCTTTAACTTTTCTTCTATGTTGGCTTTGCTTGATTTATTGAGGCGCTATCGCTTTTTGCAGGCAGGGATAGCCGCCGGTGGGGGCCCAGGTTGCTGAGCAAGTCTCCCAGGCCGTCGTGGTGAGTACCTCGCTTTTCGTTTTTCCTTCTATCTTGTGTGTTGTTCTTTTGTCTTTTGACATGGGGCTTTTTTTTGCAGGCAGGGGACGCTGCCGAGACTCAAGTACCCCCGAGGCCGGAGGTGCCAGGCGTGGATCCTCCTATTGCCGAGCAGGGGACGCTTGTTTCTGCCTCTGTCGAGACTCGCGGCAAAGGGCCGAACTTCGAGGTCCCCACAGCTACGCCTGCAACTTCACGGAGCCAATATTTAGCTTACTGCTTCGGGAAGGGCCGCTCGCAGGTGCGATTGGACTATGTTAGTGCTTCAGCTGACCTGGACTCGCTGTGGAGCGCGGGAGTGACTGTTGAGAAGTTCTTCCCCCAAGGTTCGCTGAGCTCGGACGACCAGGGGCTGATAGACGAGGTCGGGCCCGTGGAAGGCTTTGACGCCGCCCAGGTCTTTCTGTAGAGGACTATGGCGATTGTGGACCACTGGAAGCATAAGTGGTCCAAACAGCAAGAGGACCTGGTTAGCCTGAGGAGCCGAGACCAACCTTTGAGGGAGGAGAATAAGGCCCTAAAGGAGCAAAAATGCAGGGGGCCGAGCTTCGAGCAGCGAGGGGGGACCTCGCGAGGGTCCAGAAGTCGCTAGAGATCACCCTGCGTTCCAACGAGAATTATGCCTCCCAGGTGAGTGAGCTGTAGGAGCTTGCTGCCTCATCCCGAGGTCGGGTGCGCTTTCTGGAAGATGAGGTGACGTCTTCCCGGGGTCGGGTGCGCTCGTTGGAGGATGAGGTGACATCTCTGAAGGGCGAGTTGGTGGTGGCGACTGAGAAGCGTCTCTGCGACGAGGTTCTTCTCGGTGGCAAAGAGGAGGAGGTTGCCGCTTTGAGAGTGGACCTCGCGAAGCTGGAGGAGGAGAGGGCAACGTTGGAGAAGAAGCTTGAGGAAACCGAATGGTCTATTGTGGTTGAGCATAAGAGGGGTTTCCTCAAGGCCACTCGCCAAGCCAGGCTCCTCGCGCCAGGGTTCGATTTCTCCGCCATGCATGTGGAGAAGGTTGTCCGCTTCGGAAAGCTGGTAAAGGAGGATGACGTCGAGGACAACTCTAGCGAGAATGCCTCTACGTAGGCTAAATGTGTAATGGCCTAGTTTAATTTTCTCTGCTTTATTTTTCTTCTTGAATTCAAGTGTGGAACTTCGAAAACATTGTTGTATATATATGTATTTTTTGTCTATTTTCCGTTGCGCTTTTCTTTGCCTTTGCGTTTAGGCTTGATTTTTTCCTGTTTGCGCATTTTGAGACACATGTTCAATGTCTGTTGTGTACTTTTATACTTTGTGATACTCAGACTGAGTTTTAGGGCGGAGCGAATTGCTTGTGTAAGTGTGCCTCGTTAAAAACCCTCTCAGCCAAAACCCATTTTTCTGTTTTTTAGGATAAAAGACTGAGGTGGGAAAAGAGTGCACAGCTCATTCGTACAAAATTAGCTGAAATAGAACTTGAGATGCGTAGCATTCCAAGTTCGCGGTATAGGTTTTCTGCTGAGCTTTTCTAGTCGGTACGCTCCATTTTCCAAGTCTTCTGTAACTCGGAATGGGCCACCCCAAGTGGGTGCAGGCTTCCCATCTGACGTGTCTTTCCGTGCTTCGCCTAGCAATCGCCATACCAGGTCGCCAACTCAGAAAGAGCGAGGTCGCACCCTGGTGTTGTATCTTCAGGAAGCTCAGAGTTTGCAGGCTTCTTCGTGGATTTGAGCTTCGTCTCTAAGCTCGTCAACCAAGTCGAGGTCGGCTGCTAACTCTCGAGCGTTTTGCTCGCTGTTGAAAACTTGGCGTCGGTGGGATGTCTCTTCGACTTCCACTAGGATCATTGCGTCAGTTCCGTAGGTTAGCCTACAAGGTGTTTCTTGCGTGGTTGACTGGGGGGTGCAATGATACGCCCAAAGGATGCTGGGGAGCTTGTCGGCCCACTGTCCTTTGGCGTTCCCAAGCCGCTTTTTAAGTGCCCTGAGAATGACCTTGTTGCTGCTTCGGCTTGGCCATTGGTCTGGGGGTGTTCCACCGAGGTTGGGATATGCTTGATTCTGAGCTCACGAAGGAAGTCCTCGAATCCCTGTGCGATGAATTGTCGGCCGTTGTTAGTAACTAGGGTGTGAGGGATTCTGAATCTGCAAACAATACTCCTCCAGGTGAACCTTTGCACATTTTTTGTGGTGATTTTTGCGAGTGGGCATGCCTCGATCCACTTGGTGAAGTAGTTGATCGCCACTAGGAGGAACTTGAGCTAACCTTTCGCAGGGGGGAATGGCCCAAGGATGTCCATTCCCCACTAGGAGAAAGGCCATGCCGACATCATATGGTGGAGAGCTTCGGGCAGTTGCCGGTGTGTGTTGCCGAACTGCTGGCATTCTTTGCATTTTTGTACGTAGTCCTGGCAATCCAATTTCAGAGTGGGCCAGTAGTATCCAGCTCGAAGTACTCTAGTCGCCATTGAGCGTGCTCCGGAATGCATGCCACATATGCCCCAGTGAATTTCCTCGATTACATAGGCTGCCTGAGGCGCGGTCAAGCACTTGAGTAGTGGGGTGGAAATGCCACTCTTGAATAGCTCATCCCCGATAATTACAAACTTGGCCGATCTCATCCTCATCTTCCGAGCTTCGTCCTTGTCTTCGGGCAAGATTCCTTTTTTCAAGTAACTCTAGATTCCTGTCATCCACCCCTAGTCTTCGCTGTCGCTAGTATTGACGACTTAGTCGTCCAGGCTGGGTGAGTGCAAGGTCTCTTGGATGATAGTCTGGTGCTGTCCAGGCCTTTTGGTGCTGGCTAGCTTTGATAAGAGGTCGGCTCGGGCATTTTGTTCTTGCGGCACATGTTGTATGGTGAACTCGTCGAAGGACGAGATCTGTTGGGATGCGATGTTGATGGAGCTACTTGGAGAAGAATGATGTTCATCCAAGCTTTCCATGCAAGGACCGAAATGCTCTATGAGGTTGAACTCCTTGAAGGTGGCGGAATCACCTTGGAGGATTCTCCAATGGTGGAGAAGCACCTAAGAGAGGTTTGGTTACCTCTTGAAGAAGTGAAGAAGCTTGATGAACCAAGCTTCTAGGAGAAGGAACCTTGAGAGAGAACTTAGGAGAAAGTTTCTCACGAATTTGACTCTTGAAAAATGAGAGAGAATTCTGAATTCTTTTTCTCATAAATGTCCAAAAGTGAGTACAAGTGAAGGAATTACAAATATATAGGGAGAGGTAGCTTCTAGGAGAAGCTAACCTTAACCATGGTTCACTAGGAACCATGGTAAGGTGTAGCTAACCATCCATGGTTTCTAAAACTTGTAGGAGAAGCTATCCTTGACCATGGTTCACTTAAGAACCATGGTAAGGTTAGCCAACCTACCAAGGTTTAGAAACTTGGAGGAGAAGCTTCAAAAACTCAAGAATGCACATGGAAATTTCGGCCAAAGAGAAATGAAGGAGCTAGGCGGCCTTGGCTTCTTTTTCTCCTTTGATTTATTTCAAAAATTATTGATTTGGTTTAGTTAGGTTCATCAAATGATGATGAGACCTAGCTAAATCAAA